TAAAGGGGATATACGATGGGTGAGTCATGCTGACAACACCTGAAGCCACTGGTCTATCTTCACGTCACTAGACAGACAGACAGACAGACACAATGTGCTTTCTGAGGAGAGGCAATGATAAGAAGACCTCACCACCTATGTGGTATACTGGCCAAACGACAACTACAACAAAAACAATAGCAACACCTGAACCTGACAGAGGTTCCAGATGTGACAATCCCCTTACCGTTAATGTTGAGGACAGAGGAACATGTTAAACAACATCATGGGGATCTAGCCTATAAAGGCCTGAAAGTTCTGTGGGACAAACAACCCTCAAGGAATAAACTGCAAGGGAGGAAATGCAGGGAGGGGAAGCTAAGGACCGAGAGCAACTTAGCAGACATCACAACCAATGCAGGGTTTGCATCTTGTTCAGAGACTGATCGGAATCAACTATAGTCAAATACCTATGGGTAAATTCTCAAGGGGTACTAATATATTATGGTTATATATTTTTTCAAAAGGCTATTTTTAAAGATGGAAGCAACCTAAGTGCCCATCAACAAAAGAATGGATTAACCAGGCTATGGTACACACACACAATGGAATACTATGCAACATTAAAGAATAATGCAGAATCCGCAAAATACTACATAACATGGAGAAACTTGGAGGACATTATGCTGAGTGAAATAAGTCAATCACAGAAGGATGAATATTGTATTAGTTCATTATTGTAAAAAGTCAAGGAAAGGATACATATGGAAGGAAATTTTCTTGGTTGGTAACCAGGGGTGGGTGGGGAGGGGAGGAAATATTGCCAAAAAAAAAAAAAAATAATAATAATTTTTTTAAAAAAAGTAAATAAATGAAGTTTTAAAAAAGGCTACTTTAAAGAGATACAACTGAAGTATGTGATATGATATAATGCCTGGAATTTACTTCAAAGTAATGGTAGGTGCTGCAGATTGGGAGTGACAAGTAAAACAAGCTTTGTCGTGGATGAGAACAGTTTTAAAGTTGAATGACAGTTACACGAAGAAATCATTATACTATTGTGCCTTTACATGTGTATGAAACCTTTCCATAATAAAAAGTAAACAAACAAAAACTACCCACTGGAACCAAGACACCGCAGGAGAAAAAGACACAAACCTTCAGAAGAGCTGAAATAAGACTCCACAGGAATGAAAGCCAGGAGACAGTGGGTTATCTATCAATCTCTAAGTCTGTGAAAGAAAATGGCTGCCAGCCTAAAAGTTTCCACTGAAACCCCTTCAAAAACCAAGTCAAACTAGTCATTTTCAGGCCACTAACAAGGAGGAATTTGAAACCAGCAGACCCAGGTATTCCACAAGCAGAAAATAATGATTCCAAATGGACAGGAAGAGATGCCTGAAGGGCCACCATTTAATGCAGTTTATTCCTTGCAGTTTATTCCTTGAGGGTTGTTTGTCCCACAGAACTTTCAGGCCTTTATAGGCTAGATCCCCATGATGCTGTTTAACGTGTTCCTCTGTCCTCAACATTAATGGTAAGGGGATTGTCACATCTGGAACCTCTGTCAGGTTCATTTAATGAAAGAGAACAAGATGGAGGCCGACACTGGAAGTTATCTGAAGGGAATGCAGGAGAGAATTACAGTATTACAGTATGGCAAAAGGAAGCTGAGTGTAGGTAGACATGCTGGTGGGGGGGGACTGAGTGTAGGTAGACATGCTGGTGGGGGTGGGGACTGAGTGTAGGTAGACATGC